CAACAAAGAGACATTAGTAATTATGAGTCACAGTGGCACAGTGGTTCAAGCGATTGACCACTAACTGAAAGATTGGTGGTTCAAACTCACCAGCGGTACTATGGGAAAAGTATGTGGCAGGCTGCTTCTGTAAAGCTTCACAGCCTTGTAAACGTTACAGGGTCACTCTGGGTTGGAATTTGAATGGATGGCAATAGGCTTGGTTTTGAGTTGCAATGATTTGATCCACAAAGAAAGCCAGCTCATAAAAATGACTGTGGTCTGGGCATTTGAGGCAGACAATTGCTAAGGTATAATAGCAGCTAAATTAAAGGTGACTTTTGACAATAAGCATCCTTTAAGCAGCCACCTAATTCTGTGAACTTTTGTACGAAATGGAGTAGACACTGGAAATCAGGAGAACAATTTTAGAGAGTACAATCGTCTCTGGTTGTCAAAGAAAAACACACAATAGGGGCTCAGTAAATGTTTGCTAAAGGTTCATACAATTCCAAAATTGTAATTTAAACTCTTTGAGCAGATTAGCCCTCCCTCAATCAAAACGAGTATTCTGCTGGTATGAAAATAAGTTTGAATGAAAACACTTCTTGTCCACAACTTACCCCAAAGTCAATAATACTAAAATAATCACTCCAAACTTATGAGAAAAGGTTGGTCTTCCCTGATGACTAAAACGCTATCAGTCTGTAGGATTTAGCTCTGCAGCCTTTATTGACAATGGCAATGAACATGTTCATAACAATAATAAGGGCTTGTTTTAATAGAATGTTCCATGCATTAAACACATTAATGACCCATGAAATAACTGTTTTATCTGTAACACATTAAACAACATTGCTAAAACAATGTATTAATTGAAAGTCTGCTATTTTTCTTTATGTACGGTTTACTTTCTTTTATTTTTAAGTATAAAAATGGCACAAAAGTAATTTTGTAAAAACAAAAATAATTTAAACTTCAAAATGATAGCCACACCAACCAATCCAATGGCTGTGAAACTCCTAAAATGCGTTTGGTAATTTTAAGATGTACTGTTTTTAAAAAAAAACTTATTTTATGCTAAATTGAAGGTAACAATTTAAGAGTCTTATGGATATTTGAAAAGCATATATACCTATGTTTCTTTGTATATACATATATCTTCTCTAGGGCTTTTTCTCTTTCCTTAACAGGTACAGAATCCAACATGTTCAAATATACCTCCCTTATTAAAATCTCTTTCAATTTTCTTCACCTACATTTTCTATTACAAAAGTGCCAGTACAGAAATTTCTATAAATATATGCTATCACAATTAAAACCACAGGAATATCAAACAGTAAGGGCAAGCCCTCTAAACATGAAACATAATGTATGGAGGAAGAAGTGTGTGAATTATCAGTGTGTTTTATAAATTCTCTTTTGGGGGGTATACACAATATATCAGAGTAGAGACAATTATTTTACTGTCTGTTTCTTAGATATCAAAGAGAATTTTGAAATTCATCAAAGCTAACCTTCTGTTATGTACAACAGGCTAAGCTGAAAAGAATGTTAACAAGTTCAATTTTCATTCAATCAGCACTACTGCTCTCTGAAATGTTTCATTGCAGGAAAGAAATAAAAATAATCTATATGGTAATTATGAGGATGAATCCCCCAGTAACTTTCAGCTACATGAAAGGTCAGTTCTATTCAAGATATTTTATCAGTCCCCTGCACATACTCCTGTCCTGTCATTTTAAATCTGAACAGCATTTTATTTTCCCATTTACAGCTACCTGCAGAATTAAGTACTTAAGCCAAATAAGAAAAAAAAAAGGGGGTGGGGGAGAGAAAGAAAGAAAGAAATGTTGAATGCTGGCAAGGGCTATAATAGCATGGAGATAAATCGTTCAGCTGCTCTCTCTCAAGCCTCTAGGGCTGCAGATTTTTCTTCTCCTGGTGCACTGTGGGTATTCAAAACTTGTTCAACATGATTTCATTTCATTTCAGGCACTGCCTGAGAAAACTAAATTACAGAATCAATCATACAGAAGGTCAGAGTGAGACTTCATTACAAGTATTGCATGCTTGCATGAATATCTTTCATTTATGACTGACCCAATATGTCACAATAGCTGTCTGGTAAAAATAATCCACTTTCTGAAATTGATGTACTACTGATGTCAATGCTACTCAGCAGGTTGGGCAGATTATACAGAGGTGTTTAAGAAAAAAAAGAAAGAAACCTTTGGAGCACACGTTGTAGATTTTTAGATTAAAATAATTTCCAGATGATCATCTGAAGGAACCATAATGCTCAGGAGGTAAAAGCATTTTTAACCAAAATGCGCTGTTGATTTTGGCTTGCCAACCACATCCTCTTTGTAAATAGATGTATCCACAACAAGCAAATCAGGGTTGTTTTTGAAGTCACAAATGCATAGCCATTCCATTTTTCAGCAATTCACTTTTGAATAAGAGGACATTTATTTGCATATTTTGAAATGTGAATGGTAATCTTCCCCCTCCCTCCCGCCCCCCCCACCATGGATTCTTCAACCCTATCCTGGTTTGGGGGGTCTTGCTTTCTGTTTTAAAATACAATGTCAGGAATTTAAGGAAGATAAACATGTCCTGCTTGTTGCCAGCAATAATGCAGCTAATCAGTAATGTAGCAAACTGTCACTCTTCCTAAAGGAAAACCAATGAAGCTCTGACGAAAAGCTGGTTCAATGCAACATAAACAAGCTGGCTTTTCTGCTTCTATGATAGCCCTAATTCACCATAGCAATCCTTAACCGACAGCCATATTCATTTGGATAATAAAACTCCTGACTTGCATAAGGTATGAAATATCCAGTGCACGCTGGGAAGGCCAATGCATGATGTATAAAGTATTATTTATTATTTTTCTGGTGACCTTCCTGAGGGAAATCTCCGAGGAGGCTGCCTTGCAATATTAGGATATAGGCAGCCAACATAGTGCCCGGAGGGAGAGATAGAAGAACCTTGACATAACCTATTTTTAACCATGCCTCTGGCGATTCCGAATTCAAGCTTATAGGTGAACATGTCAGGTAGTACACAGAACAAAGCCAATGACACATTGTATTCCTCATAATTCTGTCCCGGTACATTTTATTTTTCCAACATTTGTGATTTAAAATCCCGTGACATTTCTTCAAGGTGAAATTCTACTAGAATTTTCAACGAGATTAGTTTGTTTGAAGATGAAATAAATAGCCTTCTGGTTCAGCAAAACTTCAAAAGCCACCAATAAATGTGATGAGGTCCATGTAAATACCATGATAACAGCCTGCACTTAGCCAAAGTACCCATAGCTTTTAAAATCAATGAAATAATTCAACTGCTTTAGTGATTAGCAATACATTACAAGAGGAGCATTAAAAATTGAACCCTCTTTCGCAAAGCCAGTACATGAAAGCATTGTTCTTTAAGTGTATGTGAATATCATAATTATTTTATGATTCCATCTTTAGTTCTTTCCAATATAGTAAATTCAATTGACCATGAAATGAAATTTCATAGTCAAAATGCCTCCTTTACACTTTTTTATGGCAGCAATAACAGTTTTATAGCTTTAAGGCAAGGTAATTCATCAGATGTTTAATTTAAAGGCAGATTCTTATATTATTAATAAATATTTACCAATTTAAGAAAGTACACATTTTAGCATACATTATATGGTCCTTTAACTATTTCCACAACTTCAATTAGCCTCACTGAGCATCGATGAATAATGGGTGAGCCCTGGCCAACTCCCCAGGAGACTAAACACCCTTTTGATTTTGATGATTTTCCAGGCACAGCTTTGGGAGCCTGAAGGTGCGAGGACAGAGGACGGAACCCCCTTCTAGTGTCAAAGGGACAAAGATGTAAGGGGGAAAAAGTCCAGAGGAAACAATTATTTATGATGGCAAAGAACATTTATGAATTCTTAATGACCATTTCCCGACTGTTCGCCGCATTCTTTTCTGACCCAAAAGCCAAAATAAAAACCCTGATGTTCAGCTCAAACACAAAAGATCACAGGCAGAGAAAATGATGTTGCTGCAATCCAACTGGGGACGTAATCTTATATTTCAGAGAGCATGTGGAATCTTTTCACCGTTAATCCACTACATATTTTACAATCATCTGTTGTTATCTGGGGAATTAACAAGGAAACCAATAAACATCACTGGTATGGTCCTAATGTGCAAAGAAATATGTAAACAAGCAAGAGGATTTGTCTTTTGATATACCAACACATCTGTTTCATTTTACCAGGGTTCAAAGAAAAAAAAAAGCCCTACAAACTATTAATCTTATTTCAAAATTTCTGCTTAGTACATTATCTCACCTAGATAGACACAAATGTAACAACAACAACTTACAAATCCCAGCAGAAGAGTTTAAAACACTTAAGCAGATTTACTCTAGTGACTGCTGACTATAATTGCACACTAAGAAAAATAGAACCACAATGATTGCATTAGTCATTTTGCCTCTCTGGAGTGCCTTAGTCAATGTGTATGACAATAAATAACACAATTAGGCATATTTCACAAAATAATCCTCTATATATTTTCCTTTGCTGCTTATAAACAATCCCCCCCTCTTTTATTTGCATCATGCGCAGGAGGATCAAGCAATGTTTCATAAATATGATACTGTAAACCAACCGATGATAAAAAACAAAACAAGACCCATGAGAAAGACTTCACCTGGACAAACTCAACTGAAGCACACCTCTAGGTTAAACCAAAAGCAAAGACAGACCAAGTGCTTCTAAAACAAGGGAACTGAATTTTCACAAATCATGTCCATTAAGAAGGACCGTACTGGTCCCAAACTCACATCCTCTTGCATGACTGTCTGCTAACGAATACCCTCTTGCTCAATACGAGAGATTCACCCAGTGACTATCCTTAAATGCCCAATGGTAGGATCACATTTTAGAACATGGACTCTTGTTTTTCATCATGAAATGTTTCTAACTGCTAATACTTTCAAGAAAGAAATGCGGTACCTACCATATGCAACCCACTGCTATGAAGCACACCATCTTGATCCACGAGATTTCTTGAGATTGTAATGGAAGGAAGATCCAGGCTTTGGGGTGGAAACTGGGGTGTGAATTCACTTCCCTGGGAAGGCAGTGGGTCACTGAGGCCTTGAAAGGGGAGCAGTACATCAGGCATGCCCAGGGCAGGGTCTGACTCTGGAGGAGGCGTGATGGGTGGGATTTCGAACTCCTCATCCCCAAGGCTTGGTGTATGGAATGTCTGCTGAAAGGAGAGAAAATACAGAGCGCTTCATATTCTGTTCCTATTTCTGATCTCCTGGAAGATGGAGGTGGGGGCATGGGGCACGGAAGCCACATTATTTATTTCTCAAATGAAAACATCTTAAACACAGATTTCCATTATAAAGTTTTGCTGATCATTCTGATTAAAGATTTAAGTCTCATTATCATATGGTTTTAATGGAGTATCAGTATTAACAGTTTTTTAATGCGTACTTAATTAGCAACATCTGTCTTTGTGGTTAGTTGGAGCATCAGCGACATCAGATTTGGCTATATAACAAATTGCCGCTTTATTGATATGTTAGTGAAACAGCTCCGACCGCTTACATTATCAACATGCTTCATAAAATGCTGATGATTTTATGGTGTACACACAACATTAATCTAGAAGTGAGCATTACACATATTTACTTTACCCTATAACATAAAAAAAAACAAGTTATATTAAACCTGTGGTTCAGTTTATCAATTCCCTCACTGGTATACTCTCAAATGGCTTCGATGCTTCCATGAACACTGTTACTGTTTGTAAGACAACATTTTACATAAGGATTATCATTGCTCATATTAAAAGGTGTCAGTGTTTATTTAAAGCATCAACAAACTGGAGGGTTGTTTTCTTTGATAGGACATCTTTGTACGTATTAACCAGAACATTCTCCACCACTTCTAAAGACTATTTATACGTACACGCAGAGACCTGGATTGATAAAGATACACTAACCACAGTGATGTCACTCACTCATTTGGCCAAGTGACATTTCTCAAGATCAAAGTAAATTTTAAGGCATTATTTTTCTTCACAGCAACATGATTCTTAAAGACAATCTTTCAAAGTAGGGCCCTCTGATGCAAAATAGTACTTGCCTTGCTTATTCATACTAACCATTTTGCTTAATTAGAACATGGATTTTTTTTTTTCTTGGCTGTTTGGTGGGGTAAATTTGTTTGGGGGGTCACTCAGCTATGTGTGACTCCTAGCTCAGAGGTTCAAAGTTAGAGTTAGAGTTAATTTATTATTCACAGTATTTGAAAGAATGAATCAGTGCAAGATAGCATGAATCTGCTACCATTAGCTACGAGAACTAATTATGAGATGAAAATAAATATCTACTCTTCAAGCTACCAATGATAACATAACTTAGTAACCACTTCAGAGAAAACAGGATCAAACTCAAGGGAAACACTTTTCCCCTAGTATGTAGAATCTGTCAGCTGTCATTATTTGTATCTCATCAAAAATAAAAAGATCCCAGGCTATGGCAGGATAATTGAGCATCTTGAGGTTCTTAGCAAATTTAATATGCTCAGAAATGCTGTAGCATAATAAACTATGTGAAAGCTAGACTTAAATATCAGATTTTCTGACATATGTATTTTAATAGTGATCTCCCCCCCAAAAGATATCAATTCATTACTATGGCACCCCAAATTCTCAAACACAAAGGACTGAATTGGCCACATACATGGTTGGCTAATGAACGTAACCCTATGGCTGCATTTGCTGTTATTTTGGCACTAATGTGGTCTAGTAACAGATGCAACTGTAATTTGTGACTCATTTGCTACCCCATTACTGCTTAATGAAATCTAACATATCACATTAACAATACGGATAAACACTCATTCTTGATATGTGGCATTTGGCTGTTTTCATTACCACTGTAATTAACACTTGAAATATTATTTCAATAAATATTTAAGGTACTTTAAAAATGGTCAGGGTAATCATGACACAGACCGAAAACATAAAGCATATGTGTGAATTTCAAACACAAGAGTACCCTTGTCCCTGTAGTGTTATCTACAAAGCAATATCTATGTGAAGGGAATTGGTTTCAGGCACAATTTAGACTTTGCAGCACTCCAACCTAAAGTCTTCATGAATTAGTTTGCACTCATTAAAATGTTAAAAAAAACAAATAAATTTAAGTTTAATGCAGTGACTGGGAGATTAGGCACATGCGATCACGCAGGGCATTAACATTTACTTGGGTTTCTTTTACGTGCCAGGAAAGATGTAAAGTGGAGGCATTACATAAGATTACCTCTTAAACCCTAACATAAAGCACATTTTACGCGAAGCAGTCAAAATTAAGGAGGTTTTCATTTTCTATTTTTGTTAGGGAATTGAGAGCTATCATATATAATATATCCCTACAGTACAATTTTTAGAAGACAAATTAATTTTAAGTTAGAATTTAGTATGCCACTATATCACGACCTAATAAAACAATACAATAAAATGATATTATAACATCTAACCAAGAAAATCGTATACTTCCTTTAAAGACAAGTAATAAATATAAAGTTAATAAGCATTCTTTAGAAAAATAGTAACCTCAAACTAGTGGATATCTCAGATTATAAAAATACCCTATATGACATCCACACAAACATTAAAAAAACAAAACAAAACAAAAACACCAGCACCCACCCTGGATTTTTAAGAATATACTGTATGAACTATTAATCATTCAATGTTTACATGATCACTCTGTACAGATATTGACTTTTCAATGTTTACCTTTAACATGCTACAGCAGTAATGTACATGGTTAAATACCATCTGTACTGAAATGTTCAAAACATTTGTTCCTTTTGATAAAAATGCAAATCTGGAGAACTGTTGTATCAACACATAACAGCCAATGTCTGACACGGTGAATTATCACAGCTGGAATTAAATTGTCTCTGAACAGCTGCTGGCAGTAGAGCTTTCATCAATGTTTGATTCAAATGCAGGGAGAAAAATCCTACAGAATGAAACATCATGTTGTCCTTACAGATGGGGTTTGTGTTCATTATCACAAAGAACACAGGAGTCAGTGCCAAACAATATCCTCTTTTCTAAGCTGTCTTCTTGCTTAGAGAGATGATGGTCACTATAAAAATGATTAAGTTAGACCAACCCTTACCTCATCCCTCCCCTTTTATCCTAATACTTCTTCTAAGCTAATTTCTTTCATATCACTTGCTTCCCTGTATCAAGATCACTTACAAAGCCATTATTATTTTTATTCTCTGGGGGAAAGCTACTCCAGTTGCCTATATTTGAAGCTATTTGGTAAATGAAGATTTTTGACTATATGAAGTACAAGAGAAAATGTTCCACTCGGTCCAATTTCACTTTTGTTTGTTCTTGTTTTAAATTCTTACATCTCATACATAGAACCATTTTTAGGGAATAGTTCTCTTGATCTACTTAAAATGAAGATTTCAATGGAGAACAGACCAATGACATCAGACCAAGTATCCGTAGGTCATTAAGTAAAGAAGGCTGTAAAATCAGCAATGAGTTGTTTATCCCATTTGCACCCAAACTAGAGACAAAGCCAATGCTCCCAGCTACGACCGAGCCTTGGCGCATACCTACTCATCCACTCGAAAAATACTACTCAAGGAGTACACAATGCCAGGCGCTGTACTAGGCTACAACAAGCAAAACCCTCACTTCAAACACCCAAGACAACTGTTGTCACATTTCTCAAGGCACAACGTCTTAAATTGTTACCATAGACATTGTCTATTAAAAGTCACTTCCAGCCTGGTGTCCCAAAGAATCACTTATCTGTTAAGTATCAATACAGTGTGCTTGCTTGCATGAATATATTGCTTATTTTATTTACCAATAGATCTTTTTACTTTCTATTCCAACACTGTTACTTTGTGCCACAGTAAGAGAACAATTAGATGCTTTGCTTTTCCCTACTAGCCTATTAAAATTATCAAAATATCACACATAATATGAATGCATAAAAAAGGCAGACACCTACCTCACTGGCAGCAAAGAATGCATTGTTAGCTTCAGCCATGTTCATATAGTTGTTGTTATTCCCAAACTACAAGAAAGCAGATCATTTTATGTAAATAGGCAGCATAATAAAGAATTATGGCTGTTGACTTAATATTCAGATGCGATGGGGAAAATATGCTGTTCTTACTGGACGAAAGAGTCGTGCTACTCAGATCAAATGTGAAATATGACAAAAGTTTCAAAACACGATGTAGTTCTGTCAGCTAGTTCTTTTAAAAATAACGCATAGAGTTAAGCTAACTAAATAATTCTATACAATAGTTTTGTTTCTCTTCAAGACTAACAGGAAGGAGGAGGACTATAAGCGCTGGGCCAACTCGTCACTGGTGTGTGCTGTGTACTGAACTGGCCTTTGTCAAAGGTCAGACGGAAAGAGTTTCCAAGCAAATCACCTTGACACATTTTTAAGAGCGTGTTGAGATTTCAGAGCTTACTTTTCAAGAACAGATGTCACAAATGTGGGTAGGTTAAAATGTGAATTAAAGGGAGTAAAATCCAATTCCCAAGACTCCAATTCTATTTTCCACTGAATGGGGTGTGGCGGGATTATAAATAAATAATAAGACTAAAGAATTTTTTTTAATCTCCAAACAGTGCTTAAAATGGTATCTATTGCCATCCAAGCTGTTGAAAACAGTGCTATTTAATCTCTCAGTGCAAGTGCAAAGAGGTTTTAAAAAATAAGCAGAATCCTATGAGCACAGCAATTTTTATTTAATTCCCTAACACAATATCCCACTCGTACCATCACAAATAAGACGGTATCAGCATTTCAGACATAAGCTCTTTATTTCTGGGGACCTGTTATCAAAATGTAAAACTTGGATTTTCGCAGAAATGTATTTTCAGATTCGAATGGTTTTTAAGCAAGCATGTTTGTTGCTTTTAAACATTCTGTGATCAGTCTGGCAATACTGAAAGGTCTGTGCACACAATTATATAAAGTTGTTGTATTTTACAATTGGTTAGTGGAAAAGAATGCATTTGTCTCTATTATGTATATTTCCTTCTACTTTGAGGCATCTGGTAGAACACAGGCTTGGTCTCCAAAGGGTAAAATGTATAGATGTTTATTCTCTAATAACCAGATCTAACCAACCCACTGTCGTGTATTCGAACTGAACTCATAGAGACCCGAAGGCCGGAGTAGAACTATTCAAAGGGTTTCTAAGCCTGTGATTCTTGACAGAAGCAGACTGCCACATCGTTCTCCCACAGAGTAGCTGGTGAGTTCGAACTGCTGGATCTCTGATCTCCTGGCTAGCAGCCAGCGCTTAACCACAATGCCACCAGGGCTCCTTCTAACACCTAATACAATACCAACTAGAATTATTATCCCTTAAAGTAGAACATACATTCTGCCCCACCCCTAAGAGATACACAAGTGCATCGGTGTATAGAGAGAGAAGATTTAGAATAAAATATGGAAGACCCACGTAATCCTTCTCTCAATAAACCAATACATACTTATTTGCCATTCTTAGTCCCCACATCTGAACCTGTAGGATTCATATTTGAAAGCAGGATTGACATGCTACACTTTATTGTGACAGGGATCCAAACACTAGACAGGATTTAAATGAAAGTTTCTAATGACTGCAGCCATTGTCCACAGAAGCAAAACTCCAGCCTGTAAGATGACACTACACACATATCCACACAATGGACCGTCAGCAAGGCGCCCACTGCACACTCAGATTCATTTGGATAAATGCTTCACATGAATTTCTGAAAGACGTATCTTTTTTTTTTAGTGCTTAGATTTTTATCTGGTATCTCAGAAGGCATGGAACACAAAAAGAAAAGCGTGTGGTACACGCAGGCTCATGTAGACATGCACACACACACAAACACACACACACTATTCTCTTAAATGTATGCATGAAAAAGCCTAAGCTTCTCTTACTGAGTTTTTTTTAATGAACTAAAATTTAGGGTCTCCTTACGGTCTGTATCAGAGCGTGGGCTCGCTATGGGTCCTACTAGCACCAGCCCAGCTTCCCAAACGGCCCCCTGCCTGTATCAGAACCTTAACGTTACTTAAATGTAGGTTGTGTTGGGAAATTAGAAATCCATTTAAAGCAAACAGCTCATTGCCAAAGAGTATTTTTTTAAGATTAAACTCACTTATTATCTAATAGCATCTAAAACAACAACAACAACAAAAAATAAAATGGCTATTAAACTAAGGGCCTAAACAATTCAAAAAACAAATTAAGCTTAGAGTGAAATAAGAACTGGGTTAGAAATCCTCTTCTGAACAGTTAGTATGCGAATGTAATTACTGGAGAAACTACAGCTAATCAGCTGTGAATTGTATCCATTAATTAGTATTTGCCCTGGAGAAATGAGAAAAATCAGTAACAACTCGGGCTGCCGTGGAGCTGCGAAGAGCCACTCGCGGGCTGCACGGCGCTTAGTCAAGCAGGTGGCTCCAGTGGTCCACGTAATTTGAAAAGCTCTCACCTGAAGTGCTGTGCTGGAATTACAAAGCACTCATTGCATATCTTTTGTATCTATATAAGGCCTTAATTAATGGCTTTTAATTTAGAAACACTTGGCGATCAGGCAGGACCGGTTATAAATCATTTCAAATAGTAGAAGTCAAGGTTTCTATTCTGTTTTGCGTAAAATCTCTCCCTGGTAAAGATGGCTACCTACACTGACTTGTTGCAGGCAATTGTCCCTGATACAGGTGGCTGAGACTCACGGTGGTGTGGCAAGGTAAGCCAGGTAAAATACAAAGCACCAGTTAAATTATCATGTCATGTCAACAACAGCCCCCTATGGCCCTTCCTGTCCCCACCAGTTTCTCACTATTTGGCTCATGCTTATATTTAGAGAGATTATCGTTCATATTTCTGAAATTCAAATTTTACTGAGTGTTGTGTATTTATTTATCTTTGCTACATCTGGCAGCACTGCTGTGACAGTGAAACTGCTTCTTACAGAAGCAGGGGAACGCATGATCAGGGTGCCATTTTCCATTTGATTTACCTCGTTAATAACCTGAAGTTTACTTTGCTTAAGGTATTTTATTTTAAAATGTGAACTAACAATCTTGCCTTACTGATTTTTTTTTGAAGGACAAACAGACTGAGATGCAACAGAAACATGGGTTAAGGGAAACAGCGGATGGTTTAAGATATGAAAATAATAATAATGTATTATTTATCGAGGGTGGGGGGGTGCAGGAAAAAAATAATGAGCTGATACCAAGGGCTCAAGTAGAAAGAAAATGTTTTGAAAAGGATGATGGCAACATATGTACAAAAGTCCTTGACACAATGGATATATGGATTGTTGTTAGAGCTATAAGAGACCCCAATAAAATGATTTGTTAAAAAGGGGGGGGCAATCTTTGGGGGATGGATCACTCATGATCTCAGAACAATGAACTCTAAGTGAATTATGTACAAGAGACAGTGACTAAGTGAAAATATTATATTGAAGAAATTCCTAGAAATCCACTGCTAAGGGCCTTACCTGTTGTGGGTACCATCTCACTCACTGCAATAGAGTTGATGCTGACTCATAGCAGCCCAGAGACTAGGTTTCCCAGGCTGTAACTGTTTATGGATGTAGAAAGCCCTCCCGTTCCCGAGGAGCTGCTGGTGGTTTCACACTGATCGCTAACCAATGCGGAAACACTGCACCACCAGGGCACCTGGGTGTACCAGACCTCCCCCAAATTTAACAACAGAGAGCCTGCACTGCAGAGTTTCTGCACTGTAAGCATTTGTAGTATGCCAATCGTTATTGACTAGGAGGAGAATAAGAAACAAGAGGAGCACATTTTGGTTTCAGTGGCCCAAAGCCCTCTATCCTAATGGATAAATGATCACTTAAGTTTTTGATAATGATAAGGTTCATTGAGTATTTTGGCAGGTATGTCTCAGTGATTAAGCACTTGGTGGCTAACCCAAAGGTCAGGAAGTGGGACCCATCAGCTACTCCGTGGGAGAAAGATGAAGCTGTCTTAAAGATTATATAGCCTTGGACACCCTTACGGGGCAGTTCTATTCTGCTCGATAGGGTCACTATGGGTCAGCATCAACGTAACAGTAACGGCTTTGGTTTGAGGTTAGCCAGCTGTAGCAGTCTACCTCCCTTGATTTAATTGTCCAAAGTAGGACTATATAAATTTTATTTTCTTAACAACTAGTGAGATGAATACAATTAATTGTTCTCCTTCTTTCATAGATCATCTAGGATCAAGTCGCTCACGCACAGTTATAGATTTAAACAAGGTTGCCTACCAGCCTTGCTGCTGAACACGCGGTGCATCCCACTATCCACCCAACCCTCTCCAAAAATAAAACGCACCACCATCAAGGCCATCGCGACTCAGCAGCCCTGTGAGAGAGGGTAGCCTGTACCTGTGGGTTTCCAAGACTGAAACTGTTTACAGGAGTAGAAGGCAATACCTTGCTCCCATCACTATCTACAGAGCTGAATATTTCACTCAATGCCCAGTAAATTTTAAAACATTATGTCCATCTACTTTACTGAATGTTAGAAAATGACAGAGGATAGTTCAAGTACTTGGGTCTAGTAAAATGCTCAAGACAAGACTTCTATAGTCCAGAAAGTTTGGAAAAGACTATATATTTTTAATGGACAATGCTAATTATCAAGATAAAGGCTCTGAGAAATCCTGCAATTAATCCATTTATGAGAACCCTGCTACATGTCAGACACTGTGCTAGGCATTGGAGACAAAATAGTGATGATTACAAAGTTCCTATTTACCTAGTGCTTACATTTTTGTTTGTGTAAATAGCATCCAGTCAGGAAAGGACAGATTCTGGCCAAGTGAATAATTCAGGTACTGGGATAGAGAGTTAGCCTACATTGACCCAGTTTCCCTCTCTATAAAGGGCTTTAAAAAATTAGTACCAAGAGTTAATCAAAAGATAATATTAATGGAAGATCATTATGCCCCAGGGGGGATGATCGATAAGACTCTCTACCATAAATTAACAAGGAGGTTTTAAAAGGGAGCCAAAAGCAGATTAAAAAGAA